ACTTTACCAGCTAGCTCTTTCTCTCCCAGAAAGGCAGCCATCCCAATGCTATCAAAGTGGGCCAATAGAAACCTTGAAAACCAGTACAGAGGTCCTGTTAGAAACTACCTTGGGAAAGGTATACATGAGTGAATCAATGCAAGGCTAGCTTCCTAGGCATGTGACCTGTGCAGTCACATAAAGCCCTGCTCTGAGTGAGGCCCTACACTTAGTAAATGCTCTGCTGACACCATCTTGAAATTTTTAATAATATTCTCTTTGAACTTGTAAGTCAAGTCTAATGGGACAATTGAGCATGTGCATGAGTGGCTGAGATACTCCAGGTAGCAGGGTGCATGTGCATAGGCCTGAGCCTGTGGCCGAGGCAGGCAGCGTAGGTGTTGAACAGTTGGCCTGCTTGCCAGTATGCAGGCCATGGGGAAGTTTGGGGCAGCAGGCCAGGACTTGTATCTGGACCAGTGGCAGCAATGTTGGCAACAATGGCAGAAACAGCATGACAGCAGAAGTAGTGGGGCAGCCTCAGCAGCCACGGTCTCAGGAGAAAGAAGAGGCTCTGCATTGAGACAACTCTGGGACCCACGGTGAGAGGCTGGCTCCAAAAGCCTGTCCCTGTGGCATCTGCACAAATGTTAATCTCCAGTTTGAGCATCAGAATAGGAACTGGTGTTCATACAGTAAATGATGTTGGTAAATTATTACAGAAAAAGAACAAACACATGGCTATTGCAATAAACCATATCAGGGATTTATTAGAATTCTTCAAAGAGTTTTGAAAGTCTGGTTTTGAAAACTATTGCAACATTGCAATCAAATATCCACAGCCTTAGAAACAGAAATTAATTTTAACTGTCACTGCATTTGGCAGAAAAGAACACTATTTTCCTATGAAGCTTTGAATGATCCAAGTATTAATAAGGAAGACAAAAAGTTATCTTTTGTAATTGAAGAGACTGTGATAGAATGGATAAATAGAGATTTTGAATTATATCCAAATCATCGAGCCACTTTTGAATTCTTGTACAACCTTCACAAGTTATAGGAAATGTCAGAGGATACATTAATGTTGAATAAATTTACATTAAAATTCACACTTGCACAAAACTCATTTGTATCAAGTGTTAAATCTTTTTAGAATGATTATTCCATGAGAGTCATTAGGTCTAAATGTCATATTCTAAAATAATTTATCAGAAATTTATCCAAATGTTATCACAGCTATAAAACACTCAATATTTATAGTAACATGTATCTGTAGAAAAATCCTTCTCCAAATTAAAAACTGTCAGAAATCATTTGCAATCTTGCATTTGCTGAGAGAAACTATTTTCAGTTAAATCAATTTAAAATAAAGTTGCATAAATTTTGGTGACCTGATAAATGAATTTACAGAAGAGAGCCAAAAAAATCTTATGATAAATCAAGATATCACATTTTAAAAGAACTATTATTTATTGCATTGTATAAAATTGTGACATCAAAAATTTAATTTTTTCACAATTTGTAAGTTTATGTTGTTAGTCGTGTATCACTGTTAGCCCTATTTGTAAATAACAATATACTTTTAAAGGGAAAAACTTTAATAACTTTAATGGCACTTTTTCCTTGCTCTTTCAACAAAGTCCCCCATTTTCATTTTTGCACTAGTTCCTGAAAATTATGTAGCTGGCCTTGTCAATATAATTTGGGTAAAATACATTCACAAAGCTGTTCTCAGCATTTTCCCACAGTAATCATAGAACTTCAGTTTTGCTCCCTTGGGAATTT